TTTTTTTTTTTTTTTTTTTTTTTTTTTTTTTTTTTTTTTTTTTTTTTTTTTTTTTTAGTTCATGTCTTACCAACCGAGGTTGGGCTAGTCCACCTTAGATTAAGGGCGAGGTTCAGACAAAGAAAGGCTTAGAGTGGATACCTAAGCACCCATAGACGAGAAAAGGCGTAGTAAGCGACATGCTTCGAGGAGTTGAAAATATGCGTAGACTTGGAGATTTCCGAATAGGTTGACCTTTCAAATTCTGCCGTCCCAGAGGTAAAATTTGCGAGGGATGAAATTTTCCGTGAAAATATTTATTTAAAAGGAAAACAGTTAAATTTTATATCTGTTCAAATTTTTAGGTATGAAAAATTTGCGTGAAAATATGTTTGCGGATAGAAATGCGATGGTTGAGCATTTGCGCAGCAAGGTTTGTCCAAAGTACCAAACAGAGAAAAAGGTCGTCGAAAAAGGAAGAAGGATTTTAAAGCGCTTTGGTTTGCTTCCCCTTTACGCCAAACCCAATCTTCGTCCCATGATTGTTCCTTAACCACTTTCAATCACTGTTTCCCCTTTCTTCCTTTGCCTAATTCACAAGTTTTTTCCGCGTTATAATAGTCTAAGCACAATCGCCTCACTCTTCACTTCGCCGTTGAGGAATCAACGATTATGATAATTCCGATCAAACCAGTAGCGGCGATGGTCGTGTTCTTGCCACTCATCGTGGCGGTCGCATCCGCGCTGGAGATACGGCCGTCGGAGCACGGGCTGGAGTTTCAGAGCCCTCCGCCTGCGGGAGAAAAATCGTCGCCAGAGATGCGGTCGTTCTTCGTAGGAACATCGTCGCCAATTCCGGATACAACATTGCCGTTGCCGAAGGCGATGAATTCGAGCGAGGCGCCGGGATGGTGGACCCACCGTGACGGTGGAAATAAACGAGTAAGAAATGCATTATTGGTGGCGACGGCGGCTTGTGGAATTACAGGTGTCACTTTATTAGTGGGTTCTACGCTATTCTACATTTATAAGGTAAAAAATCAAACACCATTGCCATTATCTTCAAATAATAATCACAAATAAACATATCAACAACAATCATGATCCCTTACTTTGTTCATCTCTTGAAGTAGCGATAAATTTCCCAGTTCCAATTTGTTCTTACCATATAAGAAGTCGTATTGTACTGATCATGAAATTAGACAATTTCATTGCCATTAATTGTTTGTTGAGAATCTGTCTGTACTCTCACGAATCAAAATAATTTGGGAATATCAATAGAAAAACAAAAAGTTCGTATCATTTTGTTTCTAATTGCTTTGCCTCATCCATAAGAAAATAATATTCTCATCTTAATTTTACATGTAATTATAGTAACACATGGAGACTGGAGATATTGAACAGATTTGACATCAAAATGATTAGAATAGGAACAAGATAATTATTATATTTAGTTATTTACTACTTTCTTTTTTCAAAAGATATGAATGATGAAATAAAGGTTAAAGCTTTTGGCGTTAACTATGATCATCCCATTGATGATTCTTTTAATTAGGATGGTTCCTTATGATCCGTTTAACTTATTTAAAAACATGTAATTTAAGCCAACAACATATCGCATGGAGTTAGAAGAAGGAGAAAGCAAGTGAAAGAAGTGATCAGATTTTGATAACAGAAAGCACGAAAGTATGGATAGACAAAACTTTCATCTCAGTATAGAGAAGAAAAACAGACCAAAAAAATAAAATTACACAGTACCGTTCTATATAAGAAAGACTATACCAGAAAACTAACCATTTGAACTTGAATGAATTGGGAGGGATTTATATGTACCTATTGTTCAAGAGGCCATCCATTCCAGCTCTAGATCTAGTTCTCCTGATTCCACATTCTGAAGCTTGAGTGTCATCTCTTGCTTCACCTTCCCATCGACAATATTAACGGTGCTATCGCTCATGAGAGCATTATCGTGCGATTTCAGCCATTTTCCAATTTGCATATTTGAAAACAATCCAGCATCTCCAAATGCCATTGCGGATGTTATCAAGGGCTGGAGATCAATGTCTGCTTCTCCCATTATGTCGTCTGCTGAAAACGTGTCATAATCGTATACTTGCTGCAATTTGGTGACAAGAAGCAGCGTAACCGTGAATAACCCCATAGCAATAGATTTTGATATGTGAACGTGATCATGCATCATAATGAGAGGCGATGTCACGACTAAACAACAGAAAGAAACCCAGAAAAAAAAAAAGTGTAATTGTTGAGCATCGGAAACGAAGGAATTGAACTTAGCCATAGACCACAGTAATGCATCAGACAAGAAAAGGAAAATGATCGTTCTGATCACGGTTTCCATCGAGGACAAGCTTGGTATAGACAGACTATTTATTAAACCTTGAACATTACCAAATTTCTTTCTCTCGCATTCTCTTGTGCAGCTGACATGAATTTAAACATGTAAATTTTCATTTCAATAGCAAGAAAGATACGTTAGTAGCAATAAAATGGCAGTCTGGCCACTATACTAATGGCCAGCCTATGAGATGTCAGTTAATCCCCATTTGCTAAGTGCATGGAGCAGCCTTTTAGGCTTAGAATTTGAACAAAACATGGAATATTCTACATTGTGTGCTGCAGAGAAAATAACTTAGAGCCACAGGTAGTTTTCAACCGAATACCAATATACCCTTCTTTTCAGAATTGATGGATTGGTACTTCTGCATTAACCGACGTGTGCTATATCTGACATCGAACTAATTAGACGAGCATCTAAAAACACACTCACCATCCAAACAAGATGACAGGTATATTACCAGCACCAGTAAGCATGGAGCTAGAACTAATAAGAAAAGTAACTCGAATTCTTCAGCAGACTAACAAAGAAAAAAAATTATAACCATCTCATACAAAATGCTTCCATACTGAATATGGGTAGAAGGTAGATTTCCAGATGGTAATTAAATTAATTGATGGGAAACAAACTTGCAGTCATTATGTTAAGATTAGCATGATTAGTTAAACAGGGGAGACCATGTAGAAAGAGCTTCAGAAAGACTTACCAACTTTAAGGATCCAAAAGATTGAGGTACAGATAGCGTCAGTTCCTCATTCCACACAGGGTTCAAGTTGCTCGCGACTACACATGTCTGGACAGTCTAAAAGAAAAAACCGCATAATGTTATAGTCTTTATCAAGGTGATGGAACAGAGCAATCAGTAATTATTAACATAATCAAAATCTACGGCAACAATTTACAAGTAGATGGATAGCAACACGAAGGAATTGTTCACAAAAAAGTTGGCGAGAAAACTACTAACCTGTCGTCCAAGAGTCAAGACTACATAAGGATCGCTTGTCATCATATCCCTGATAGCTAAGTTTGTCCCTTTAATCACTTTGACCTTCAATAATCCAATAAAGTCTACCATACCTTCCTGCAATTGCTTTAAATTATAGAGCTAGCAGAGTTTTGGTAAAATGAAATTAATAAACTTACGCTATAGGCTAGATCGTCATTACTCATTAGTCAAAAACAAATTTATACTTCCACATCAGAAAGTATTTCCAATATGCCCTGAAAATGTTTATATGGTAACCAAGCATGAAGTGCGCATTTCTTCTCTAAACTAAATCTTAGGAAGAAACGTGTGAAATGTTATAATGACCTATGATGATGTTGTCTTCACAAATGAAGGTATATAATTGCAGGAAAACTAATAAAGAAAAGATATAGCAAGAGCTCACTTGTTTTTGTGACGAACGAAAACTGTTCATGACCCTTGTTGCAAAGTTTGCTTGGATATTGCTTTTGTCAGAGTGGGCTGATGAAATTCTCAAGCTCGGTTTCAGAAATTCTTGAAGTTCATATTTGGATCTGTATAGGAAAATTTATAGGAACCACAAGAAGTGTGAAATTCTTGGAAGTGACCATTCATTGAATCATTTCTGTTGGAATTTTACTCATAGATGACTATTGCCTATTGAATTCAATGCCTGTTGATCAGCTCTCAGCATTCAAAACAAAGTAATATGCTGATTATTTACGGAACTATAAGGGACCAGATGAAATAATATCCCAAAAGTCCAGAAACAAAGAACAAATATAATAAGCGTTGATTGTTAAACTTCAATAGAAAAAGGCAAGTCAACAAGTACAAGGTTATGGAGAAGATGAATAAGAAGAAGAGTCACTTAACATGGATAAATTTCACAGTTACTTAATAATTTCTAACCGAATAAATCTTGAACGTTGTTCATGGCTGGCATCTGGTCCAGGTTTTGAAAATCCATCAGGAATAAAGGCTTCATAAATTGCATTTGCAGAAGAATTTCCTCCAATTTCTATCATGGCATCAATTTCATCATCATTCCATTCATCCAATGTCACTGATAACACCTGGCCCAAATCAATAACCATGTCAGAAAAATATGTGCACTATTTGTATTGTTAATAGAAAATGAAAATCAAGAACTTGGAAATGTCTTGCAAAAGATATACATAATGAAAGTAAGAAGTAGAGTAATTATAGACCACACGTTTATGTTTTACACAACATGTATCGTTTTTGTTGGCAATTAAAACGCAAGAAGCTTTACAAGTCAAACTCGACATATCCCTCGTGTAAAACCCTCCTCCCCAATGAAGGAGATTCGATATGCTTGGAAATTTATTAAGAGACGAAAATAAAAGAGTGGGGGAAATTTTTTTTATTTCTCAGGTGATACACCGTTGATTACTGCATATCACGTGCACTTTTTTTTTTCACCTTTGATATATGTGCACCAAGGCTTCTGTGAACGCCGCAACATTTCAAGCATATAAAGACTCCAATATTTGCTGACCTGAAAAGAACATCCACCTAAATGTTATTGAGACTAAAAGAATAGGCATGGTTCACATATCCAATTCAATAATCTGAGTATGCAATCATTAGCTAGTAATTTCTAGTTCTCCAGCAGGGTATAACATTTCATTCTATTTGACAACCAATCGAACAAAACTTACGCCCATTTAGGGTCTGAAGCGCGACAATCCGCACAGAAGCGATTATCCTTTAGGAGCAATAGGTCCCTTAGCCTTCTTTTGCCTGAAGAAGACAAGAAAAGGCCTAACATTATTTTCAAGGCCACAATAAATACAATTTATGCATGTGTAGCCAATAGTTTAATTGGTTAATATATGGTTGAAACTCCAATTTCAGTGAGGATACCACCTGAGCCAGGCCTCCCAAGTTCCATTGTACAATTATTTGTGGCTCTGTCAGTAATCGACGATCATCCAACGAATCCTATGGTTCAACAAGCTGCCTTGAATAATTGGACCAAAGAAAACAAAAACAAAAACAAAAACAAACACAAGAACAAAACACTAAAAGGACCCCTTAGACTCTGAACCAACATAGATACAAATTTACATTAACGCTTCTTTTGATAATTAACAAAGAATAATAAGGATTGGGAAAGGGATATAATAAGCATTGGGAAAAGGATATAATAGAACAAAATCAAACAATGCTGTCAAAATTGATATTGTACTAGTTCAAAATGAGGCTGCCATCAGCAACGGGGCACCCAAATTCTTCAATTGGAGGATTTGCATATCAAAGACGACTCAGTCCAAGGAAAATGAAAGTGAAAGAACGTTTTAAAACCTCAGATGCGATCCTTCCAATGACGAGAATATACTTGAGATTCCTATTTTGGTCTAAAACAGAATTTACAAGCGCCAGAAATTATATCCTCTCAGCATTCAAACATTCAATGCGGTCGATACATGCAGAAAGAACTAAGCTCAAAAGTTTCCAATAACAATCAATCGCTAACAGGAAGAGGATTCGTGTATAATCTGGAAAAACAGCCACCAAATAACCAATCAGAGCCGCCTGAACAAGCAACCCAGAATAACAATATACCAAAATCAACGCGATTGATAAAGATTGACAGAGTTCGAAGAATTTTATAACATAGATTTCGGTTTTTTTTTTCCAATGATTGAAGATTGCATGCAGTGAATAGAAGATCCAAGTAGAAATCATAAATACCTAATGAGATCGGTCCCTCAACAAAATCGCTGATCGGAA